AGAGAAGTTGTAGTATGCTCCTGGATGAACAATAAAGAGCTCTCAAAATGATAGTTATGCAGGACTATATAAAATATATTAAATGAACCCTTATTTAAAGGTCATTGAAGATTTCTATGAAACAGTACCAATCTTATGTCAGGTTATACATACATATATGTACATATGTATGTATTTGTATGTGTGTGTGTGTGTGTGTGTGTGTATAAAAGACAGGGAGGAAGTAATATAAAGTCAATGGAAAATGGAAATATACTTTTTTTTTTTTAACGGAACTGGGTATTTAACTTAGACCCTTGTGCTTGCCAGGGAAGCGCTTATTCCACTAAGACATCTCCCCGGACACTGGAAATATACTTTTGAAAGTTTCTAATACTAGGAGAATATATCATACCAGGTCTTTCTTTTTTTTTTTTTTTTTTTTGCGGAACCAGGGATTGAACTCAGGCCTTTGCACTTGCCAGGGAAGCGCTTATTCCACTGAGCCATTTCCCCAGCCCCAATACTAGGTCTTTTAAGTAAACTGTAAGTCAAAGATATAGTATAAATCTTAAAACAAAAATTAAGAATAAGCAATACTCAGAAAATTAAATACTAATTAATTAAAAATTAAATGTTTCAAAACAATTGAGCTAAGTTTTCATGATAGTAAAGAAGTACTAAGAGTAAAACATAAAATAAATACTGGAATGGCAAATAAATGACTAGCACTTCTAACAGATTGAAGATAGGATATCACACAAAATTCTAGTGTGTTTTGAACATGCATAATGATCATGACAGTTACTGGTGGCCAGGTGTCATTTGTGGGACTGAGCTACTGCTATTTCCTTGAAATCGACCCTGTAGACCCAGATGGAATCATGACCCATAGGGTGCAGGAGAAGTGCATTTGTAGAGTGTGCTGATGGAAATATTTTGCTGCTGAACACAAAAGAATACCTGAAAGACTACTATTGTATACCTCTTATTCTCCTGTGTTTAATGGTTTTCCCTATTTGGTGGGTTCTTTCTATTCTCATTCATGGGGCTGTGATCAATTTGCTCCTTCTCTACAACATCATTTAGTAGTCTGTGTAGGCTTGGCTTTGTCATGAAATTCTTTAGTTGTTCTTTGTTGAGGAAGTATTTCACTTCTCCATTACACTTGAAAGAGAGTTTTGCAGGGTATATCAGTCTGGGTTGGAATTTGTTTTCTTGCAAGACTTGAAGGACTTTGCTCCATGCTCCTCTTGACTTGACAGTTTGTGAAGAGAAATCTGCCATTATTCTGATGGGTTTTCCTTTAAGTGTGATCTGTTTTTTTCTTTAGGGACTTTTAGTATACTGTTCCTGTGCTGAATTTCTGGGATTTTGATTATTATATGTCTGGGTGTGGTTTTAATTGGGTTGATGTTATTTGGAGATCTGTAAGCTTCAGTTACTGAATGTCAGATTGTTGCTGTATATTTGAGAAGTTTTCTGCTATTACTTCTGCCCATATTCTTTCTATATCATTTGTATTTTGACTCCTTCTTTCTCATTGATGCCTATTAGTCTCACATTGTTCATCTTTGCATCATCTTGCAGGTATTGAATTATCTTTTCCTGCATCCTAGTTGTTTTTAAGAGATCTTTTCTTACTTTTTCACTAGCTGCAATGATGTCTTTAAGGTCAGAAAGTCTATTTTCACTTTCACTCAAATGGTTTTGCCAGCTTGTGATTGAGGTTTTAATTTCCT